TGTCTAGGGGTGTGTAAACCTTAGACTTGTGTCTACTTTATGGTAAGATAGTCCCCTTGGGGATTTTTGAGACATGCAAATAGTGTGTGATCAGGCCTGAAGACAGGTGTGGTCAGCCTGTAGCTTCATAATCTCAGAGTCTATTCATGTCTCCACTTAGGGCCATGGTTGACCTAGACACTTTGCCTTCCTTAATTTAACCTTTTTTCTGGTTCCTTGTTTTTTGGACCAGTAGCGTAAATATCACCTGGGAGCTTGTTAAAAATACAGAACCTCAGACCCCACTAGAACTCAGAATTTGCATTATAAAAACATTTTTAATTATCTATTTGTATTTATCGGAAAGTCATAGAGGGATAGAAAGAGACAGGCCGACCATCCACTGGTTCACTCCACAAATGCCCCAAGAGCAAGAGGTGGACCAATCCTAAGTTAGGACCTGAAAATCAATCCAGATCTCTCAAATAGTGGGCAGGTGTCGCTCCCCCTCTTCGTGGAGGAACGACACAGGACCCTGCGCTGTTCTTTCGTCTGCTCGGCCCTCCCCGGGTTTGCTGCTGGTTCTTCCCGGGTTGGCTACTATCCCTTCCACCTCCGTGGAAGGGCGGTTCCCCCTGGCCGCTTTCCCCACTTCCGCAGGGGAGTGGCACACCGCCGGCCGGCTTTCTCGGGGGCTGCACAGGTGTTCCTTCAGCTAGATGTTCCCCTTAGATGTTCCTGGTGCATGCCGTCTCTCTCCTCCTTTATAGTCCTCCTCCGCCAATCCTAACTCGGCTGCCCACACGCCGAGTACGCTGCTCTCCTCCAATCAGGAGCAAGTCCTACAGTTTATTGGCTGAACTGGAGGCAGCTGTGTAGAAGCTGTTTTCTTCTCTCCCAGCGCCATATTGTGGGAGAGCAGATGCATAGAATAAGTCTTAATTCCAGTGACTCAGTCTAGTCCGGTTTGCTCCCCACAGGCAGGGACCCAAGTACTTGAACCATCATGTGCTGCCTCCCAGGGAGTACATTAAAGAAACTGGATTGAAAGGAGAGCCGGGAGCCAGCATTGTGGCATAGCCAGTAAAGCCACTGCCTGTGACACTGCATCCCATATGGGGACCCATTTGTGTCCTGGCTGCTCCATTTCACATGCAACTCCATGCTAATGGTCTGGGAAAAGCAGAAGATGGCCTAAGTGCTTGGGCCCCTGCCACGCACGTGGGAGACCCAGATGAAGCTCCTAGCTCCGGGCTTCAGCCTGGCTCAGCCCTAGCAATTGTGGCCACTTGGGGAGTGAACCAACAGACAGAAGATCTTTGTCTCTCCCCTTCTCTCTCTGACTTTCAAATAAATAAATATAGAAAGAAAAAGTTGAGCTAGGACTCCATCCCAGGCACTCTGATATGGGGTGCTGGTATTCCAAGCAGTGTCTTAACCTCAGCATCAAAGCCTGGTCCCATTTTAACAAGATCCCCCAGGTGGTTTGTGTGCATTTCTTAAATCTTCCTGTTCGCCTTCTTTTCTCAGTGAGTGTGAGGCTCCTTGACTTCTGGCCTCTAATAGGCTTTCTGTTTTGCTCAGGCTTAACATACTGTCATATCCCTGCTATTCAAAAAGCTCCACCACCAAGGCATTAGGCAAGAAAAGGCACAGGATATGTAGCAAGTTCAGTTTGGATTTTTTTTGTTTGTTTGTTTGTTTGTTTTAGAAAGCTTTTATTTAATAAATATACATTTCATAGGTACGACTTTTGGAATATAGCAGTTCTCCCCCACCATACCCGCCCTCCCACCCCCAAAATGTCCCACCTCATACCCCTTCTCCCATCTCATTCTTCATTAAGATTCATTTTTAATTATCTTTATGTGCAGAAGATTAACTCTACTAAGTAAAGATGTCAACAATTTGCACCCACACAGACACAAAAAGTATAAGTGCTGTTTGAAGACAAGTTTTACTGTTAATTGTCATAGAACAATTCATTAAGGACAGAGGTCCTACCTGTGGAGCGAGTACACAATGACTCCTGTTGATAATTTAACAATTGACACTCTTATTTATGACGTCAGTAATCACCCAAGGCTCTTGTCATGAGCTGCCAAGGATATGGAAGCCTTTTGAGTCCACAAACTCTGACATTATTGAGGCAGGACCATAATCAAAGTGGAGGTTCTCTCCTCCTTTCAGAGAAAGGTACCTCCTTCTTTGAAGGTCCCTTCTTTCCACTGGGATTTCACTCACAGAGATCTTTCATGTAGGCCATTTTTTTGCCACAGTGTCTTGGCTTTCCATGCCTGAAATGCTGATTCTGAGGTCAGAGTGCTATTTAGGACATTTGTCATGTTGGATCATTCTCTCCTTTTTAAATCTATCTATTGTTATTCCTAGACACTTGGTCTTATTTATGTGATCCTTTTGACACTTAATCCTATCTATATGATCAGTTACACACTTAATATGATCACTTTAACATGTAAGATGGCATTAGTACCTGCCAACTTAATGGAATTTGAAGTCCTATAGCTAATTTTTAGCCTTACCCTTAGGTGTAAGTCTGTGGGAATGTATGCCGAACTGTACATCTCCTCCCTCTCTTATTCCCACTCTTATTTTTAATAGGGATCAATTTTCAATTGAATTTAAACACCTAAGAATAATTCTGTGTTAAGAGTTCAACCAATGCTATTAAGTAGAAAAAGAAAATACTAGAAAGAATAAAATAGTAAGCTATTCCTCAACAGTCAGTTGTAATTGCTTCTCATAGTGTCAGTTTCAGTTCTACAGGTTCAGTTTTAATGTTTGCTTTCTGTATAGAACTACCTTTTTAGATTTGGATCATTATTTACTTTCTTAAAGGCTCTTCCTCTTATTTAGAAACATTTTGTTTCTTTTTTGAGCTGTTTAGATGTTTTAGAGCTGTAGGGTTTTGATTTTGGTCTCTTTATCAAATCTCAGAAACAGAAGTTCTGAGTTGTTTGTTGTGTGTGAGGGTATTTTAATGGTGATTCACTCATTTTCCTTTGCTTTTATTGTTTCCTTGGAAGGGCACCTTCTTGCCTGCTATTTGTTTGTAAACACAATTCTACATACACTTGGAGTTTGGACAAACAGCACCTAGTAGAATACCTGGGCTTTCTTGTAGTTTGTTTTTGTTTTTGTTTTTGTTTTGTTTTTGAGAGGGTAGAGTTACAGAGAGAGGTCATCCATCTGCTAGTTCACTCCCCAAATGGCCATGATGGCCAGAGCTGGGCTGGTCTGAACCCAGGAGCTAGGAGCTTCTTCCAGGTCTCTCACATTGGTGCAGGGGCCCAAGAACTTGAGGCATCTTCTACTGCTTTCCCAGGCTGTTAGCAGAGATCTGGATCAGAAGAGGAGCAGCTGGGACATGAATAGGTGCCTGTATGAGATCGCTGTCGCCGTAGGCAGAAGCTTAGCCCACTAAGCCTCAGTGCTGTCCCCTCCTTGTAGTCTTTTTTTTTTTTTTTTTTTTTGACAGGCAGATTTGACAGAGAGAGAGACAGAGAGAAAGGTCTTCCTTTCTGTTGGTTTACCCCCCAAATAGCCGTTACAGCGCGGAGGCTTTGGCAATCCCAAAAGCAGGAGCCGAGAGGCTTCTCCTGGTCTCCCATGTGGTGCAGGGCCCAAGCACTTGGGCCATCCTTCCACTGCCTTCCCAGGCCACAGCAGAGAGCTGGACCGGAAGAGGAGCAACTGGGACAGAATCTGGCTCCCCAACTGGGACTAGAACCCTAGAACCCCGGGTGCCGGCGCCACAGGAGGAGGATTAGCCTAGTGAGCCGCGGCACCGGCCATCCTCCTTGTAGTCTTAAGATGAGTTTTACTCTACCAGCTACTTCCAATATAGTGGAGGTAGTCAAAACTCTGCTGCTAGCCAAAATGTAATACTAACATTAATTTAGCTACTATTGCTCAGCATTTCTTTTTTTCTTTTTCTTTTTTTTTTCTTTTTTTTTTTTTTTTTTTTTTTTTTTGAGAGGCAGAGGCGTAACTCCCATCCTCTTGTTCACACCCCAAATGTCTGAAATGATCAGGCCTGGGACTGGGCCAGAGGATCTGGAAATGCAATCCAAGTCTCCTACATGGATGGCAGGAACCCAATTACTTGAGCCATCACTGCTGCCTCCCAGTCTGATCTGGGGGTGGCCGGAGTTAGGAGCTATAGCCAGGAACCATTCCCAGGCACTCCAATGTGGGACACATTATAATGCTAGGCTAAACACCTCCCAACATCTACTCTTTGATAGCTAGAATCAAGAGACATGGTTCTTGGGCTCACCTTTGCATCTTAATCATTCTCATCTACAGTCCCTCTTTCTTCTTGTCTACCATGAAGCTACTTGTACATGTCTCACTACCAGCAACTCTGACGACTGATGTGCATGGACATGTCTCTAAAGCTGTACAGCTTCCGGGTGCCAAGGAGCACAGTGTCTAAGTCTATCCTTGTACTATACAGAAACAAGAGGAATTTTCTTTCCCCACATTCTGTCATACTATTAGCTAACTATTGTTTCTTTTGGGGGCTGGTGTTGTGACACAGCAAGTTAAGCCATCACTGGCAATGCTGGCATCCCATATTGGAGCTCCGGTTCAGGTCCCAGCTGTTCCACTTTCAGCTCCCTGCCTGGGAAAGCAGCAGGTGATGGGTCAAGTCCTTGGGCCCCTGCCACCTACATGAGAGACCTGGATGGAGTTCCTGGCTCCTGGCTTCAGCCTGGCCCACCCCAGCGGTTATATGTGTTTATATATATTTGTACAATTTTGCCAATGGTTAAACAACCTATTTCAGAGCTCTTCAGAATGGTGACATTGGTTGTCCTTAAGGAAGGAAAGTGGTTGTCTTAAAAATAGGCCTAGAGGGAAGAATTTTCACTGTCTTTTTTTGTACCTTTTGAACTTTGATGAATGTGAACATATAAATTAAAAGCAAATAAGTCAAATTTTTAAAATAGATTGAATAAACAACTTTTATTTTTCTACTCTCTCCACCCTACTAGGATTACCCTTCCTGTGCCATTCTTTGAGAAAAACAAGTTCTTCTCAAGGAGGAAAGTCTAAACCTGTCACACAGGCCCTTAAGAAGCCAAGGTTACCACAAGGTCGTTTTGATGCACCAGAGGACTCCCATTTGGAGAAGGAACCACTGAAAAGTGAGTAAAGCTTCTCTTCTAATTTTTGAAGAAAGGGTTTTCCTTACTGTGAAAGTAAATGAAAAGAAATATTTTATTGCTTAGAGGTCTTTATTGATAATAATAAGACATTTTTAAACAGAGTAAAGTCATCATATTGATAAATGTGAGCTTCAGAAAAAAGTGGGTGGTGGTATTGTGGCATAGCAGATAGGGTTGCTGCCTGCAATGCCGACATCCCATCTGGCACCTGTTTGAATCCAGGCTGCTCCATTTCCAATCCAGCTCCCAGCTGTGGCCTGTGAAAAGCAATGGAGGATGGCCCAAGTGCTTGGGCCCCTGTACCCACATAGGACACCCAGAAGGGGCTCCTGGCTCCTGGCTTCTGCCTGGCCATCTGGGGAGTAAGCTAGTATATGAAAGATCTCTCTGTGTGTGTCTCTGTAACTCTGGCTTTCAAGTAAATAAATAATTCTTCAAAAAAAAAAAAAAGTTTTCCAAGACCTTAACAGTTATATGCTTGTGTTTAATTGTTTGATTTGTTAGATTTCATTATTCACAACTCTATAGGTTGAGAGTTCCTTTGATACAGATAGCAGAAACCTACTTCAGCAAATGGAAGCAGAAGATGTGATAGATTGCCATTAGGGTACAGGGTAAAGGTGACACTCCCAAGGGCAGAGATGCTGGTGCATCCTGGCAGAAGCAGATTATTCTCCCTCTTCCTCTTGAGACTGGTCACTTCTTTCCATTGTTTTCTGTCTCCAAGCTAGCTTCATAGTGCCCTGGGCAGAAAGTAATGGCCCCCGTTAGTTCTTAAGTTCAAGAGAGCAGTCAGACTGAGCCCAGAATTTCTTACTCCTGAATGCAAAATCCCTAGAAAGAAAATTCACAGGCCAAGTTCGGATCAGGTATCCACAGCTGAATCAACAGAGTGGCCGGTGGGACTCGTCACAGGTGAAGGTGGTTATTCTCACTGTAGCAACATGGCTAGAGAGAGAGAACAGGTAATTTTGAGAACAAAGATTGGTAGGATGAGTGTGATAATAGATGTAACATTATTTTATGTTCAGTATGTATAAGATTTGGCTCATGCCTTAAAACTTTGTTTTTAAAGTACTACTTTGTTTTCATTCCATGTCCTTTATACATTTGAATTGTAAAACATATGCAAGTGTTAGGTATTCAAAAAGTAGAATTTTAAATGGCCTAAGTATAAACATATCACTTTACAACCCTGGCAAGACTGTCTTGCTTGTCTTAACTTTTCCAGTGAAATGAGAGTTAATCCATCTATACAGTGATGCATCCTAGGCAAGAAGACATCATTAAAGGATTTGGAGACCTGTGTCTGGAACTTTCCTGGAATATAAAAACTTTTTTTGTTTACTCATTAAGTTAAATATTTTGATTTATAGCAGTCTACCATGCCAGTCTAATAATAAGCAGAAAAATCAGCCAAGAGAATGGAGACTTTTAAAAAGCTATAATAATCTAAAGGTAAAATGTTTCCTCAGGGGGAAGTTACCTCCTTAAAGCTGTTCCTAGAATCTGTTGTCTTGGTTTCTGTTATGCTTTTTCCAGTTTGGAATTGTTTCTTCAACTCTTTTTTCCTGTATGTATAAAAAAATTTTTAATTTTATACTTTTTTTAATTTTATGCTTTTTTAAAATTATTTTATTTATTTGAGAGGCACAGACAGGGAGAACTTCCATCCCCTGGTTCACTTCACAAATGCCTATAATAACCAGTGCTAGGGCCAGCCAAAGCCAAGTGCCTAGAACTCAGTTCAGCTTTCCCACGTGGGTTACAAAAACTGAAGCCTTTGTGGCAATCACCTGCTGCCTCCCAGGGTACTCATTAGAAGAAGGCTGGAATTGAGGATGGAACTGAGACTGAAACCCAAGCTCTTTGATACAAGATGCAGAGCATCTTAGCCAGTATCTTAACCCCTAGGCCAAACAACCCCAACATGATCTTGAATATCATCGTTGGTGATTCACACATTGATACCTCTAGACTGACCTCTCTCCTGAATTTCACTCTCTTATCTTCAGTTGCCTCCTGAATGTCTTACTTTGCATATTCTAAACATCTCAAAATTAATATTTCTAAAACTAAACTCATCCTGTACTCATTCCTTCCTCCCTACCACAAGCCCAACTCCATATTTCTTCCACTCCCCAAATTCATATGCTGAAGCCCTAACTCACAATCTGATGGTGTTCAAAGCTGGAGCCTTTGGGAGGTAATCAGGCTCAGATGAGATCATGAGAGCAGGGCCCTGATGATGGGGCTAGTACCTTATGGGAAGAAACACAAAGAGCAAACTCTGTGTCTCTGCCATATGAGAACACAGGAGACAGAGGCACCTGGAAGCTAGAAAGAGTCCTCGCCAGAACCTGACTATGCTGGCACCCTGATTTTGAGTTTCTTGCCTCCCAAGGTGTGAGAAATAAATTTCTGTTGTTTATGCTACTCATTTTATGGTATTATGGTAGCCTGAGCTGACTCATATGCCCCGTGAGTCCTGGAGATGTGGGAGGAAGAAGGACATCTCTTGGAGAGGCTTCCAGGGGAGGTCATAGTCTAGGGATGTGCCAACTTGAAGATGGAGCAGGAAATTCCTTAGAAAATGGAATGATGAGGAGATTCAGGGAAAGTTTATTCATTGTAGAGCAAGAATTAACATATGAAGAAATATTTGAAATTTTTCAAGCTTCTACATCATCTTTGTTTTGTCTAGGGAGAGGCTGCATGATTTGAAGGATGATCTCCTAGTTTTCTTTTTATTTATTTATTTATTTGAAAGAGTTACACAGAGAGAGGAGAGGAAGAGAGAGAGAGAGAGGTCTTCCATCCACTGGTTCACTCCCCAGATGGCCACAGCAGCCTAAGCTTTGCCAATATGGCGCAGCGCCGGCCGTAGTGGCCATTTGGGGAGTGAACCAGCGAAAGGAAAACCTTTCTCTCTGTCTCTCTCTCTCACTGTCTATAACTCTACCTGTAAAATAAAAATTTTTTTAAAAAGATACATTGTTTAAGAATCAGAGTTCTTCCTGTTAGCTGGTTCTTCCACTGTCATTTCTATGTACAGAGCAGTGTGGATTGAGCATGGCTCTAGTCAGAATGTCTAAAGTTGAGCTCAGCCACACCACTTAGTAATTGTATGACACAATTGTACTGCTTAGCAGTTGTGTGACACTTAGCAGCTTTCTTATTTTTCATTTATTTATTTAATTTGAAAGGCAGAGACAGAGAGACACAGAGAGAAAGAGAATCTTCCTTCTGATAATATACTTGCCAAATGGCCACATCAGCCAGGGCTAGGTCATACCAAAGACAGGAGCCTAGAACTCAATCCAGGTCTCCCACATGGTGGTAGGGACCCAAGTAACTGAGCCATCATCTGATACCTCCCACCTGATACCTTGCATTACAGCAAGCTGGACTCCAAAACTCAAACCTAGGCACTTGGATGTGGGCTATGAGACCAGGGGACGTCCCAACCAGCACCACCTGCCCACCCCGAGCAACTTTCTTAATCTTTTGTCTCAGTTTCCTTTTCTATAAATTGGAGACAAGGATTTTTCCCGTCCCATATGATTATTATGAAAATCAAATGAATTAGTATGTATAAAGTACTCAGAAATGGACTTGACTCATAGTGAAGATAAACACATAGTATTAAGTTCAGATTGCTGTTATGTCCATAAATGGCGCTACCAGCTAACCAGTTGCTGCAGCTAAAACTCTGTGATGAGCAACAGTAATATTCATAACTAATACTAATCAGCACTCTTTCATGTACATAGCACTAATGCTGGCCCCTTTATGTGAATTTATTTGTTTAATTCTCAAGACAGTAAGGTATTATTGTTCTAGCTATTTTTCTAAAAGTAAGGCATTAAATAAAAGTAGGTTCTTCAAAGTAATCTTGTTTCAAAACCTTCCATATCCTATGAATTTGCATTCTGTAGTCTTGGCCCCTCTTTCCTTCTGTTTGGATTCAACAGCACATATGAAGCTGCTTCTAAGACTAGGGGCTGAAAGTGCTCCAAGAATTTTAAGTCATTAATGTTGGTAATAAAATTGGTTACATACTGGGGCCGCCACTGTAGCATAGCGGGTTAGGTAGCCACCTGCAGTGCTAGCATCCCATATGGGTGCCAGTTCAAGACCCAGCTGCTTCACTTCTGATCCAGCTCTCTGCTATGGATTGGGAAAGCAGTAAAAGACAGCCCAAGTCCATGGGCCCTTGCACCCACATGGGAGACCCAAAAGCAGCTCCTGTCTCCTGGCTTCAGTTCAGCAAAGCTCCCACTGTTGCAGTCAACTGGGGAGTGAACCAGGGGATGGAAGACATCTCTCGCTCTCTCTGCCTCTCCTCTCTCTGTGTAACTCTGACTCTCAAATAAATAAATCTTTTTAAAAAATTAATTGCATCCTAAAGTGATTTCTCAAGCCAGGGGAAAAGAATGCATTTACAGCTCATTTGAAGACTGCGTAGTAACTTGGCCTGTAATATCTAGTCTGTTATGCAGCCCTGTCTTCACAATTGGCCATAATGCCTTTCCTGTCTCTTTTGACTGGTTTGTTTATATCTTCTTTCTTTCCTTAGAATTTCCAGATGATGTAAATCCAGTTACCAAGGAAAAAGGTGGACCGAGAGGCCCTGAACCTACTCGATATGGAGACTGGGAGCGAAAAGGACGCTGTATTGATTTTTAAGTCACATATTCTTTAACCTCATATAATTTTATGAATATGTATATCTGAACTATTTCTGAGTTTTCCTTTCTATCCTTTAATTCATAATTTTAATAATATGTTTAAAAATATGTTTGATGGCTTTAGAAGGAAATTTGCTGCAATAAGTTAGAAAAGGGAAAATAGTTTTACATTATCACATACTAACTTTAATGTAAATGTATTGGGGTTTACAAATGATGAGAGCTGTAAACTTTCATTGTATCATTTTCAGTTTAAATTAATCGGTTGCTCATAAAATGATCATGTAAATAAAATAATTTTTCAGTTATTTTTGCTGCCATGGGCTAAGTAATAATGCCTTTAAAAATGTGAGTGAAATATGCATAAGGCATGATAGTGTGATGATGCATGATAATGTGAGAAGGCCACAGTAGTCACAGAAACTGTTTAACTTTGAGCCGGATTACTTCAGTTCAAATTCTGAGTCTATTGCTTATAATCTACAGGACCTTGGATTAGTTATTAAATTTCTCTGTGCTTCAGTGTCTTTATTTATAAATTATATATAATAATTGTTCTACTGCATAGGATACTTAGGAAAACTAAATGGATAAATATATGTGTATTAGGGTTCTTCAGAGAAATCACACACACACAGATTAAAAATCATGCAATTCTTGAGTCTGAGAAGTCCCATGATCTTTCTACAAGCTGCAAACCCAGAAAGTCAGTGATGTGAGTTAGGCCAAGTCCAAAGTCCTGAGAACCAGGGGAGCCAGTGATGTAAATTTCAGTTAAAGGGCAAGTAAAGATGAGGTGAGATATCCTAGCTCACACAATGAGGTAGGGAAATAAGGGTGAATTCCTCCTTCCTCTGCCTTTTTCCTGTTCTGATCTTCAGAGGACTGAATGCTGCCCAGCTACATTGGGAAGGGCAGTCTACTCTGTGGAGTCCACTAATTCAGAAGTTAATCTTGGGGCCAGCGTTGTAGTGCAGCAGATTAGCCCACTACCTTCAATGCTGGCATCCCATATGGGTTCGGTTCGCATCCTGGCTACTCCACTTTGAATCCAGTTCCCTGCTACTGCACATGGGAAAGCAGTGAAAGATGGCCAAATCTTTGAATCCCTGCATCCATGTGGGGGACCTGGATAGGGTTCCAGGCTCCTGGCTTCGGCCCTGGCCATTGCAGTCGTTTGGGAATAAACCAATGGATAGAGGATATCTCTCTCTCTTTCTAATTCTGCCTGTCAAACAAATAAATACTTTTTTTAAGATTTTGTTTATTTAAGAGGCAGAGTTACAGACAGAAAGGGAGAGACAGAAATGTCTTCCATCTGCTGATTCACTCCCCAAATGGCCACAAGAGTTGGAGCTAGGCTTATCCAAAGTCAGGAGCCAGGAGCTTCTTCTAGTCTCCCACCTGGGTTCAGGGGCCCAAGCACTTGGGCCATCTTCTGCTTTCCCAGGACACAGCACAGAGCTGGATTGGAAGAGGAGCAGCCGGGACTAGAACTGGCACCCATAGGGGATGCTGACAGTGCAGGCAGAGTCTCAGCCTACTACGCCACAGTGCCCGCCCCAATAACTCTTTTTTTTTTTAAGTTAATCTCATCCAGAAACACCATCAGATAGACATCCACAAATAATCTTTGATCTGGGTACCCAATGGCCCCCTCAGATTGAGGCCTGAAATTAATCAGTACAACCTGTTAGCCACATGGAGCAGTGCATAGTACATACCTCTCAGTGTTAGCTATCCTTAAGTTATCAATGTATTTTTCTAGATTTGCAGACGTCTGGGGGAAAGTTTTAAAAAACAAAATCTGAAGTAATTGAAAAGAAATTATTTTATGAGAGTACAACAGTAAAAAAAATTTTTTTTACTATTGAAAAATAGGAATTATTTGCATGGGTGAACTGAACTAAAATATATATTAGTTTGTGAAACATAAAGTTCAGATATAGAGGGCAAATATGAGAAAAGCAGTGGGTGGAATAGGCTAGTTCAGTTTTGATGGCTCAAAAACATCTACCCTGAAGGCTTCTGATAACTGGGTCAGGAACAGTCAAGTCCAGTTAAAGATTTGGAATAAAGGAAGGACACGAATTACAGGGCCCTGGAGGCATCCTTTGCTGTATGTCCTCTGGCCTGTAGCCCTCCAGGCTATACCTGAATTACTTAGTACAGTAGGGTTTGCAGAGCCTCTGGAAGACAGAATGCAGAGGGCTGGCAATTTTGTGATATGAATTATAAGTACAATATTTTTAGAAGAGTATAGGGAGACAATATTTAAGGTAATAAACTTCCTAAGAATTCTTCCTAAATTCCCCCAAGAAACAAACTAGTATGCTAGTTAGGACTGGTCATTTGGTCTTCATATCACTTTTCTGTCAACATTTCTTTGCCTTTTTTTTTAAAGATTTATTTATTTATTTATTTATTTGAGAGGCAGAGGCAGAAGCAGAGAGATCTTCCATCCACTGGTTCACTCCCCAAATGTCCGCAATGGCCGAGCTGGGCTGATCGGAAGCCAGGAGCCAGGAGCTTCTTCAGGATCTCCCACATGGGTGCAGGGGCCCAAGCACTTGGGCCATCTTCTACTGATTTTCCAGGCCATAGCAAAGAGCTGGATCAGAAGTGGAGCAGCTGGGCCTCGAACTGGTGCTCATATGGGATGCTAGCACTGCAGATTATGGCATTACCCACTGTCCCAAAGTGCTAGCCCCAACATTGATTTATCATTTAGTTACTGTTTATACTGCTAAATAATAACTCTGCTTTTTAAAAAATATTCTATTGGAGTGGACATTTGGCACAGTAGCCATGATGCTGCTTGAGACACTCATATCCCACTCCTTCAACCTGTAAGAATACCTGGGTTCAAGTTGCAGCTTCCAATTCTAACTTCCTGCTTATACATACCCTGCAAGACAGCAGGTGATGGTTCAAGTACTTTGGTCTTTTCCAACCATGTGGGAGACCCAGATTGAGTTCTGGAAATAGGATAACAGTGGCAATGGACTATTAATTAACCAACACTGGTTGATTAATTAGAAGGAAAGTAAAATGAAAAGTGCCTGATGAGTTCATTCATTCATGTAATTGATCCTTTCGTTTAATCAAAGTCAGTTGTCTTCTGTTTGCTAGATTTTCTGGTAGGCTGTTTATATTTGTTGATGAATGAAAATGGAGTCCCTGCAAACCAGGCATGAAGTCTCGTGTGTTTGATTTGTATATGACAACAGTTCTAGAACAAAAGTGACTGAGCTGAATGCATTGCCGATGACTGAACTTCACTCCTACCAAGCCAGAGAATGTCGTTCCTCCGCAAAGAGGGGGAGCGACATAATGGTGCCGTGACTCGGATAGGAAACCCAGGAGGGAAGAAGTGGGAAAATACCAGAGAGAGAGACTAGCAAAGAGCCTAGGGAAAAGCCGGACAGAAAAGGTGCTGGAAGAAGCTATTGAAAGCCTAGGCATAGACTCGGATATGGACTGTGGGAAAGAAGTTAGGATTGAAAGTGAAAGTAAAAGCAAGAAGAAACTTAGACTCGGATACGGACTACAGGTTAAAAGCGAAAGTGAAAGCTAGAAGAAACAGACTTGGATACAGACTGTGGGGAGAAGCCAGGAGAAATGAGAGGGGAATATTGTTGGAAGAAAAGTTAGGAAACATACCGGGTAGAGAAAAATGTTAGGGAGGATGAAGCCGCGGGGGCAGGCTGAGGCGGAGACGTAAGCTAGCTTGGGATTCGTCAAGTCAGCCCGGGGAGCAAAAGGCGAAAAAGCTAAAACCAGAGGCGAGACGCGTAAGCTAGGTTGGAATCCGTCAGATTAGCCTGGGGAGCAAACCAAAAGGCCAAACCGAAAGGCGCAGACGTAAGCTAGGTTGAATTAGCCAGGTTAGCCCAGGGAACTTAGACTGAATACCGGTGGCGGAAACATGAGCTAGGCTGTGTGACTCGCGGAAGCCACCGCGCGCAGAGAGAGCGCGCGGGGCACGAACGGGGAGAGTGCACGAGGCGCAAGTAGGAAACGCGGGGCTAGCGCGAAGGCCGTGGTGTGGGCACAAAGGGCGCGGAGACCGTGGAGCGCGCGAAGCCGGGAAGCCGCCACGGGCGAGGCGCCGAGAAGCTGCCTTGGGGCGGGTGCTGGGAAGCCGCAGGGATAAGAGAAACAGAAGTATAGAAGTAAAATGAGAGAAATAGGAATGCTGGCAGATAGAAGTAAAATAGGAGAAATAGGAATGCCCGGAGATAGAGAAATAAAGAAAAATAAGGCCTCCCCACAACATGGCAGTGAGAGAGCTTGGATTCGGTCTGCCTGATTAGTAAGACGATAAGCACCTGTGGGCGGCTGCAGGTCACCGAAGACAGGCACGTTATCAACATCAATAAGTCTCCCCACAATACGGCAATGAGAAGGCTCGGATTCGGTTTGCCTGATTGCTAGGGCTTGTAAGCACCTGCAGGCAGTTCTAGCAGAGCAGAGCATGCGCTGCAGGGCACCGAACACAGGCACGCATCAGCGCCTAAAAACCTCCTCACAACATGGCGAAGAGAGGACCCGGATTCGGTTTGCCTGATTGGTAGGGCTTGTAAGCACCTGTGGGCAACTCCAGCAAGCAGAGCAGAGTGTGTGCCACGGGGCACCGAAGACAGGCGCGTATCAACGCCAAAAAATAAAAAGAAAGGGGGAATTGTGGGGAGAAACTCGGACTAGACTGTTACTGAAATTAAGACTTATTCTATGCATCTGCTCTCCCACAATATGGCACTGGGAGAGGAGGAAACAGCTTCTACACAGCTGCCTCCAGTTCAACCAATAAGCAGCAGGAGCTGCTCCTAATTGGAGGAGAGCAGCGTACTCGGCGTGTGGGTAGCAGAGTTGGGATTGGTGGAAGAGGACTATAAAGGAGGAGAGAGACAACATGTACCAGGAACATCTATCTGAAGGAACACCTGAGCAGCCCCCGAGAGAGCCGGCCGGCAGTGTGCCGCTCCCCCGCGGAAGTGGGGAAAGTGGCAGGGGGAACCGCCCTTCCACGGAGGTGGAAGGGATAGTAGCCAACCCGGGAAGAACCAGCAGCAAACCCGGGGAGGGCCGAGCAGACAAAAGAACAGCGCAGGGTCCTGTGTCGTTCCTCTGCAAAGAGGGGGAGCGACAAGAGAACTTAGGAAAGTTTGATGAGACTATCACTTTCTGAGCTTTTGGTACCACATGCCTCTTCATAATGCTGGATTTCCACCTTTTTAAATTTAAACTGACTCTGTGATATATTTATTAAACTATTCATTCTATGATCAAGCATGTTCTAAGCTTA